TTCAAATAAATAAATCCTTTAAAAAAAAAAAACAAAATTGGCCATTTGAACTGATTGCTTTGGCATCAAATTGGATGACTGATTGGAAGGAGGATATCAATATGGCTTGGGAGTTTGTTACAGTACTACAGGAAGTTAAAACAAAGACCTAAACTAAAACAGCAGCAGTGAAAATACAGAATAAGGAATGGATTCCAGAAAACAAAAAAGAAATAGGGGCCGGTGTGGTGGCGTAGCAAATAAAGCTGCTCCTGCGGTGCTGGCATCCCATATGGGCACCTGTTCAAGACCTGTCTGCTCCATTTCTGATCCAGCTCTCTGCTGGAAAGCAGTAGAAGATGGCCCAAGTCCTTGGACCCCTGCTCCCACTTGGGGGACCCGGAAGACGCTCCTGGCTCCTGGCTTCAGATCGGCCCAGCTCTGGCTGCTGCAACTATTTGGGGAGTGAATCAGCAGATGGAACATCTCTCTCTCTTCTTTTCTCTCTCTCTCTCTCTCTCTTTCTTTCTCTCTCTCTCTCTCCCCTTCTCCCTCTGTAACTTTGCCTTCCAAATAAATAAATAAATCTAAAAAAAAGAAATAAGTATTATAGGGATAAGAAAATCAGTTTAGCATTTGTCATATGAAATTTACTAGCAGCAGATATGTAGTACATTTGATGCATGAGTTGCGAGTTCAGGTAAGGTCTGGGCAGTGACATGGATTTAGAAATGATTTTATAGGTGGTATCTGGCATGCCTGAAGTCATTTGAAGTAAAAGTACAAGAAATGAAATATTCTCAATGTTGAGTTGGTTGGTAGGAAGAAGGGATAATAACAGATGATTTGAATGACGAGGAAGAGGGTGTTGTTAAAGGCAGAATGGAATCAAGGATAATATCAAAGTTTTTGCTCCCAGAAACTGGGTGGTAGAGAGTGGTCATGTACTTATATGGGGAAGAGTAGATTAGAGAATAAAAAAATTATACTTGATGAGAATGTGGAGCAAAGCCAGCCCTTATACATAGCTGGTGGGGATGAGAACTGGATCTACCATTATAGAGAACACTATATAGATTTATCTCAAAACTAAACATGGAACTACCAAATGACCCAGCTATCCCACTTCCAGGTATAGATCCAAAGGATATGAAATCAGCATATTAAAGAAACAGCTGCACTCCCATGTTTACTGCTGGACGATTCTCAATAGTCAAGATATGGTATCAACTTACATGACCATCAACGAATGAATGGATAAAGAAAATGTGGTAATATACATAGTGGACTATTTATTCAGCCATAAAAATAATGAAATCCTGATGTTTGCATAAAATGGGTGGATTATGTTTAAGTAAAATAAACCAGAGAAAGATAAATTCCAGAGGCTCATATATATATATTGTATATATATATGGAAGTAAAAAAAACAGTTGATCTGAACTTAGAATATTGATTACAGAGGAAGGAAAGTGTCAGGGAGGGTATAGAGGGAAGTTGATTAAGGGATCCCAAAATATACTCAGAGAGAGATAATAGGTTTTAGTGATCCACAGTGCAGTGTGGTGAGTATAGTCACAGCGATGTGTTACATACTCTAGGAAGACATGGGAGAAAGCTGCTGGTAGGCTCTGAACAAAATGAAAATATAAGGTAACAGAAACATAATTGTCTGAATTGATCAAATTATGCCATAAACAATGTTAAAATATTGTATTAAACCCCATAAAATGTACAAATATTACATGTAAATAAAAATTTTAAATAATAAAATAATTTTTAAAATTTGAAGAAGCAAAGCGTAAAAGGATAAAGAAAAAAAGACTAAAGGAAGCTCCCTGTAAAGAATTGACAATGGAGGGTAAACTTGTGAAAGCCAATAAAGGAGAGAATTACCACACTGATTCTCTCTCTCTCCACTGCATGAGATTCTAAGATCCACCAGGCAGGAGCTTTACTTTTTTTCCCTTAAGATTTATTTATTTAAGCATTTGAAAAGCAGAGTGACAGACAGAAAGGGAGAGACAGAGAGAGATTGCTCTTCTAACTGCTAGTTCACTTCCCAAATGGCCACAATAGCCAAGTGTGGGCTAGATAGAAGCCACGAATCAGGAACTCCACCTGGTCTCCCAACCACCTGGGCCCTCTTCCATTGTCTTCCCAGGCACATTACCAATACACTGGATCAGAGACAGAGTAGCTGGGACTGGAACTGGCACTCCAACACGGGATGCTGGTGTTGCAAGCAACACCTTAACTTGTTTTGCCACAATGCTGGCCTCAGGCATCTTTTACTCATCTTCGTATATATAGGATTTAACAGAGTACCTGACTTAGTAGATGTTTAACAAATATTTTTCAACAAACGGAATTGTGTTTTATATATGATATTGTCTAAATACCTAACTAAAGTGCCTAGAATATCTAATTATTTGCATTAAAAATTGATATTTTCTGTTTTTGGCCAGCGCTGTGGCATAGCAGATAAAGCTGCCGCCTGCAGCACCAGCATCCCAAATGGGCATAGGTTCGAGACACAGCTGCTCTACTTGATTCAGTTCCCTGCTAATATACCTGGGAAACAGCCTGGGATGGTCCAAGTGCTTGGGCCCCTGCATCCATGTGGGAGACCCAGAAAAAGCTCATGGCTCCTCACTTCGGATTGACTGAACCTCAGCCGTTGCGGCCATTTGGGAAGTGACCCAGTGGATGGAAGATTTTTGTATGTCTCTCCTTTCCACTCCGTGCCCCGTGACTCTTTCAAATAAATAAATAAATAAATAAATAAATATTTTTTAAAAATTGAATTTTATCTTACTAAAAGGTTGAATGAAAACTTCATTATTATTTTTCACTACCACAAATGGAAATACTTGACAAGGAAGTTCACGACCATTTAACAGTTTGCTCACTTACAAGTGACAACTGATTTGATGAAGAAATCTTAAAAAGATTTATTTATCTGAAAGTCAGCATTACAGAGAGAGGGAGAGAAGTCTTCCATTTGCTGGTCCACTTCTCAGGTAGCAGTAATGACCCGGATTGGGCAAGACAAATCCAGGAGCCAGGAGTCCCATCCCGGACTTTCACGTTCAGGGCAGGGGCCAGCGCACCTGGATCATTCTTTGCTGCCCTTTCCAGGCCACCAGCAGGAAGCAGGATTGGAAACAGGAAAGCAGCACATGAAATGGCACCCACATGGGAGGCCAGTGTTGCAGGCAGAGGCTCTACCCTAACTAAACCTAACTTACTTCCAGTATTAACTAAAACCATCTCTAGACTCATATATCATCCAATAGATAACAGATAATATTTATTTCCAGACTTATAATGATCTAGCATGCATCTGGACATGGAACAGACAGCTAATACCCAATATGTTCAAAATTAAACTCTAAATTCCCCACCTTCCTATCCCACTCATATGATGTCTTAGTCTCTTTCTATTCCCATCTCAGTAAACAGCAATTCAACTTTTCCACTTATTAGACTAAGACCTTAGAGACAGCACTATGCCACAACCCTGGCCCCAAGAATTTTCTAATTTTTATTTCCTTTGATGAGTAAAACACAAACAAAAGTTTAAGCCAATTGACATGTGTGGCATGTGTGTGTGCACATCTGAAGAATGTGAGTCTAAAGATGTAGGATAAGTACAAATTATATAAGAAAATTTTGTCCAAGTAGAATCACAGAGTAGGTAGCTAAAATCTAGCATCTAGTACTTCAGTAGCATTATGAAATAACATAATTTTTTGTCATTTACCATTATTTTTAATATTTTAATGGTCAAAGAAGAGCACTATCATATAGTGAAAAGAAGCATATAACTCTGGAGACTTAAATCCTACTGCTTTTTTGCTACTGTGAGTTACCCTGCAGCAAGTTTAGGGTGTTTGTACAGATGTTCTCTAATGGTCATTATAGTCTGAATAGTTTACCGTTTATTTATAAAACTTATTTTTCTTGTTTTTACTATCTACTTTATAAAAACAATTAAGAAATTACATTTTATTGAGATCTTATTAAATATAACGTCTTTTTTTTTTTTTTTTTTTTGGTGGGGGTAGGGCGAGAGATTTGTTGACTGGTGTGTCTCTCCAGCAACTTGGTCTGCTGGGATTGAATGTCTAAATACAACATCTATGCTCAAGTTTTAGAAATGAGAATCGTTGATTAAAAACTGAAAGCACTGGAGAATACTACCTTTATATTGGCTTTCTAAAAGCTGTTCTCAATGTTCTACTAGACTCTGAGAAGAAAATGAAGACAGATGAAGCAGAAAAACTAGGAACAGATGGACTGCTTAGTGTTCCACGGATAAATCAATGTATTTTTTACAGTTTATATTTAAATACAGATGCTGCTCAACAATGGGGTTATATTCTGAAAGCCATAATAAATTGAAAATATCATGTCAAAATTGCATTTCTTACATTTAACCTACTGAACATTGTAATTTAGCAACACAGCACACCATAGAGTATTAGTTGTTTACCTTCATGATCATATGGCTTGCAGAGGGCTATGCAGTACAAGAATGTTGGGTAAACTCAGGAAAGATCAAAAGGCAAAATTCAAAGTACAGTTTCCACTATGACTTTCATACCACTACAATGCTGAAACATCCTAAGTCAGAGATTTTCCACGTGGTTAACAAAATATATTAGATGTTTCCCAATTCAGACAGAAAAAATGTCATACAGACTCAGAGGTAACTGCTTTCCTCACCCAGTGCTGAAAGTGCTCTCTTTGGTTTATAGTGTTGGTATTGTGATAGACAGCAGAAACAGATGATTTTTCCCCATTTTTTTATGAAAAGGAAGCTTTATGGTATTATACTTTGTATACTGTTAGGGTTGTTTCTACAGTCGAGTAGAAATAAGAAATAACAAGAATGATGATAACTGTGAGAATGCTTAATAATCTCAATCTTGGGGAAACTGTGCATTAATGTTATGTGAATCTTGCTTGGGAAAAAAGTGAAGAAAATAAAGGGCAATGGGAGAATATGATAGTACCTCTGTAATTGATGATTTCTGTTCCAAGCACCGGAGTCATCTCCAGGACCGTGATAAAGGCTTTGTCCATAGATGTCAGAGGAAAAGGAGACATTCGGTGTCTTCTAGCCACCTTGGTGATATCAACAGCACTGTGACCTAAAAAGGAAAGCAATTAACTGAGAATATGATGCAGAAGCATTGATTAAAAAGTGAAATGACTTATAAATATCAGTGACTCCAAATTTCAAATGTCCCCAAATAAATATTACCAGGTAAAAAATTATTTCTCTTGCTTCTAGAATATAAGCTACTCTGGGGGAACAGTAAGTTAAGATAACAATATTACATCATATGTCAAAACTTGATGAAATTTCATGATGCTACAGGCTAATCCTATTTGAATGCTATGTGTCAAGGCACTGCTCTAAATTAACTCATTAGTCTTCCCAACAATATTATGATGAAGCACCATTATTAACCTTATTTAAAGATGAGGAAAGAGAGGTTTAGAGAGGTATATATCCTGCCTAAATCACAGAGCTAGTGACAAAAGAGCCAGGATTCAAAGTGAGGCAGTTTTGGCTTCAGAGTTCATGTCCTTAGCTAGCATACTGAACACTGAATGCTTAACAGATTAGTTAGCAAAATGAAATTCCCAAACTCAGATTTGTTTAGGATTTCATAGGAAATTTTCTCTCTTCTGAGAAAGATCATGGAAAAATTATTATTTAGCTATCTACTCCCTGTGGGACCTCTTCCAGTTCCATGGTATTAATATTACCCATAACCTAAACCTAACTTACTTCCAGCATTAACACCACCTCTAGACTCGTATATCATCCAATAGATAACAGCTAATATTTATTTCCAGACTTATAATGATCTAGCATGCATCTGGACATGGAACAGACAGCTAATACCCAATATGTCCTAAATTAAACTCTAAATTCTCCACTTTCCTATCCCACTCATATGATGTCTTAGTCTCTTTCTATTCCCATCTCAGTAAATAGCAATTCAACTTTTCCACTTATTAGACTAAGACCTTAGAGACATGCCTGATTGTTCTCTGTCAGAATCAAATGTAAACTGCATTTGAAACCGCTAGAATCTGTTCATTCCTTACCACTTCCATTTTATTGCACTTAGAACTACCACTTATTTCCTGAGAAACATAATAACCTCCTGACTGGTCTCCCTGCTTCCACTCTTGTCCCATTTTTAACTTATTTTCCACACAGTAGTTACAGTGATCTTTTTTTTTTTTTTACTTTTAATAGTTTTATTTATTAGGGCTAGCATTGTGGTGCAGTCGGTTAAGATGCCGCCTGTGATGCCAGCATCTCATATGAGCACCAGTTCGAGTACTGGATGCTCCACTTCACATCCAGTTCTTTGCCAATATGCTATGTGGAATAATACCTACCGTCATTCTTTATTTTCCTTACTCTATTTTACTTTTCTTCATGGTCACACACACACACACACATGCATAATCACATGTCTATAGCATATATAAAGTAATTACTTATTGAATTAATAAATAAATAATCTAATGAGAAAAAGGGATTTCTTGGGCTAGGGTTGTGGCACAGTGGGTTAAGTGCCACCTGTGATGCCGACATCTCATGTGAGTGCCAGATCTAATTCCAGCTGCTCTTCCTCCTGTCAGCTCCCTGCTAATGTGCCTGGGAAAGTAGTAGAAGATGGCCCAAGTGCTTGGGCCCTTGCCACTCATATAGGAGACCTGGATGAAGCTCTGTAGTTCCTGGCTTTGGCCTGACCCAGCTCCAGTTATTGTGGCCATTTGGGGAGTGATCAAGTGACCAATGTCTGAAAGATATCTCTCTCTTCTCTCTCTGTTTCTTCCCACCCCCTGCCCTGAAACATTGACTTTCAAATAAATAAATAAATAAGTCCTTTTTTAAAAAAGATTTCTTGCAGTACTATATCATTATGTATAAACAACATCATCTTACCCTTGGCACCTTATAAATATACAGCCCAAATAGTAGACAGAATAGGAATAACACAAACAGTGATGCTTGACTGTCCTAAGTGCTACCCACAAAGCCTTTCTTCTCTGGCCACTTTGCAGCTAGGAGTACCTGATACAACTCTGAGATGTAGGAGTAACTCTCTAAGGCAGCCTTCCTATTACAAATGAAAAGATAAAGCAGTGAAGCTTTAAGAGGTAACAATTGGGACTGGGTAGTAGGTAAAGCTGCTACTGGTATCCCATATGGGTGCCAATTTTAATTCCGACGGCTCTACTTTCTTTTCTTTTCTTTTCTTTTCTTTTCTTTTCTTTTCTTTTCTTTTCTTTTCTTTTCTTTTCTTTTCTTTTCTTTCTTTCTTTCTTTTTTTTTTTTGACAGGCAGAGTGGACAGTGAGAGAGAGAGAAAGGTCTTCCTTTGCCGTTGGTTCACCCTCCAATGGCCGCTGCAGCCGGCGCACCACGCTGATACGATGGCAGGAGCCAGGTACTTCTCCTGGTCTCCCACGGGGTGCAGGGCCCAAGCACTTGGGCCATCCTCCACTGCACTCCCTGGCCACAGCAGAGAGCTGGCCTGGAAGAGGGGCAACCGGGACAGAATCCAGCGCCCAACCGGGACTAGAACCCGGTGTGCCGGCACTGCAAGGTGAAGGCCGACGGCTTTACTTTCAATGCAGCTTCCTGCTACTGTGCCTGGAAAAGCAGTAAATGTTGGCCCAAGTACCTGGGCCCCTGCAGCTATGTGGGATACCTGGAAGAAGCTCCTGGCTTCAGCCTAGCCCAGCACTGGCCGTGCAGCTATCTGGAAAGTGAACCAGTGGATGGAATATCTCTTTCTTTTTGTCTTTCCCTCTTTCTGTAGCTCTTTCTAAATACATAAATAAATAAATCTTTAAAAAAATGGGAATGGCATTGTGGCATCTTGGGTTAAGCAGCCACCTTAATGCAGGCTTCCCATATGGGCACTAGTTCAAGTCCCAGCTGCTTCAATTCCAACCCAGCTACCTACTAATGGCCTTGGAAAGCAGCAGAAGATGGCCCAAGTGCTTGGGCCAGTGCTATCCATGTGGGAGACCGAAAAGAAGCTCCTGACTCTTTGCTTCAGCCTGGCCCTACATTGGCCATTGCAGCCATTTGGGGAGTGAACTAGCAGAGAAAAGATTTTTTTTCTCTTTCTGTTTCTCCCTCCCTCTCTCTCTGTAACTCTTTCAAATGAATAAATAAATGAAGAAGAAAGAAGAAGAAGAAGAAGAAGAAGAAGAAATATTTTTGGCTCTTCTACCTTCCTTCTACCAGGAACATGATCCTGAGAGGTGCTGAAGCCATTTTTCCACCATGGGAATGCAAGCCCAATAGCAATGAAAGCATTGGAGAAAAAACAGTCCAAGGCCCTGATGACATTGTCAAGCTCATAAACAAACGCTATAGACTGTCACCTGTCTACAGATTTTTAATATGTGAGATAAATAAGCTCTCTTGAGTTTCTAGTCATTGCATTTTAGTAAGTATAGCACTTCTATCCTAACTCTAACAACATTCCAGACATACGCACTAAACTGACTTAAAGGCTCTGCACTGAAGAATTTCCATTTTAGTGTTGGCACTGTAGTGTGGAAGGTTAAGACGTTGCCTGCAAAGCCAGCATCCCACATGCCACCGGTTTGAATCCTGGCTGATCCACTTCCCATCCATCTTCCAGCTAATGTGCCTAGGAAATCAGCAGAAGATGGCCCAAGTCCTTGGGCCCCTGCACCCACCTGACTTCTGGTTTTGGATCAGCCCAGCTCTGGTCATTGTGGCCATTGGGGAGCAAACCAGCGGATGGAAGACCTCTCTTTCCCTCTCCCTCTCCGTCTCTGTAACTCTGTCCTTCACATAAATCTTAAAAAAAAATAATTTCCATTCTAAGACTAATGGCATTATCACAAGTACTCAAAGAAAAATCTATAAATTTGCTTACACTCTTAGAATGGCATTTCTCTTTAAAGGCAATCAAAATAAAGAAATTCTCAATGCTTGAAAGATTTTATATATTATTTATTTATATATTTATTTATATATTATATTATTTATATATTATTAGTGTTAAATTTGAATAGCATTTTCTATTCAAAGTTGTAGGTAAATACTTTAAAAAAGGATTATGTGTGATCTATCATGCACTAAAATTGAAATAGAAATTTATTCATAACTCACTTTTGTTGATTCTGGCTTAGCTATTCAAAATCATCATAAAAATAAACTGTCAAAACCAGTGTAACTTGACCATTATTGATAACTGATAGAGATATTGTATCTGCTTTTAATTCAGCTTTACTGGTTTCAGATCTGATTTTTTCATTGATGTGCTGTATTATGATGCATATTTTATAAAAGCTGTCCTTTTAAAATATGCTTAGTTTCTGAGGAGAAAATTTTACTTTTTTAATTGTATACGATTTATCTGTTGAATATAATTTTTAACAGAATAAAAACATTTTTGGCTTTTTTTCTGATTTTTTTAACTTTCAAAAACTTTATATAAAGGGAACAAATTTCATGTATTTCATACATACAGGATACGCCTAGCGGCGCCAGCACACCAGGTTCTAGTCCCGGTTGGGGCGCCGGATTCTGTCCCGGTTGCCCCTCTTCCAGGCCAGCTCTCTGCTGTGGCCAGGGAGTGCAGTGGAGGATGGCCCAGGTGCTTGGGCCCTGCACCCCATGGGAGACCAGGAAAAGCACCTGGCTCCTGGCTCCTGCCATCGGACCAGCGCAGTGCGCCGGCCGCAGCGCGCCGGCCACGGCGGCCATTGGAGGGTGAACCAACGGCAAAAGGAAGACCTTTCTCTCTGTCTCTCTCTCTCACTGTCCACTCTGCCTGTCAAAAAAAAAAAAAAGCACAAGGATACTTCCCACCTAATTGTCCTTCATTTGAATTCTCCCTCCTGTTCCTTTTCTTACTTTTCTTTTAATTTTTACAATGAGATACTTTCAATTTTTTTTATAATCACAAGCTTAATCCTCCACTAAATACATATTTCAACCAGTAGGAAGTAGAAAAACCACTGTTCCTCAAGAGTACAGACAAGGGCTATAAATAATAATCAAATCTCAAAATGTCAATTTTGCTCATATATATTACTTTCTGTCTTATTTACCACAAATAAGGGAAATCAAA